AAACTATAACTTTAAACCACCTTATATATTTTCATAATGGTTGAGATTTCAAATGAAAAATCTATCATAGTAAATATTAACATTTTTATTATTACCTGCTTATAGCTATGCCCCATTAGCTATTTAATAGTTTTTAAATTATTCAATTTTTTTATCACATCCTTTTCAAGGCCCAATTCATATGGAACAAAATCCAAATTAAAAATTGCTTTAACATCATTTCTACCTCACAATGGTCTCTCAAATGTTACAATCTAAGAGAATTTTAGAAATACAATACAATTTAGAAATACAGTAATAACAAACAATAAACTTCAGATGACATCAATTGCATTTTCAGATTATCACGTATGGAAATTATTGATCTTATTACTTTTGATATTTAAAAACCACTTAGAAGTTATCAGGTATGGAACAATTACATTAAATTAGAGAGATAATAATAATGTTATGTCTAAGATATGCTAGTCATTGTGTTAAGCACTTTATAATCATTGTGTCATTTTGAACCCATAACAATAACCATTATTATTTTCCCTTTACAAAGCAGGAAATGGGGCAAACAGAAATAAAAGAGCTTGCCATAAATTACCAAGCTGACACATTTTTGCAACTAGGACAGAAAAGTGTGGGGCTTATCAAGAGCAACAACTGGCTGACTTCTCACCTGGTAGTACCACATCAGGCCCTACCAAGAGCTCAGGTGGCTGAAGCCAGGGGCTTCCCAGTGGTGACCATTCTTGGTGGCAGGGCTCAGGGAATGCTCACTGTAGGCCTGACCTGTCCACCTCTCCCCTCCCCCACAGCTGTAGAATTCACTGAGCCTGGGGCAGTTTGCAGCTGCTGGGGCAGAGTGGACAGACTGTATTGAACCTGGGTGATATTCCCAGGCATTGCCTAAATGAGTGGGCTGCAAGGTGCCCAGGGACACAGGGCCATTAGGGCCACTGCCAGTCTGTGATTGCTGCCCACACCCTCCTTTTTCCAGATGGGGAAGGATGATTTAAATTTTCACTACAATTATCCACCATTCTCTTCTCTTAATCTGATCTGGGATGAGAGGGGTTAACAAGAAACCATGACTGTTTATAATCCACATACACTCCTAATTCTGGAGAGTGAGTGGGGAATATTGAGTGATCAGGATTGTGTGGAGGTGTTTTAGCACAGGGTGAACTCCTGGAATTACCCCAAAAGTCTCAAGAGTTTTCTCTTGCAATCCCAAAATGATCAATTTCCAAACTTCTTAATGATTAGTCTTAAAACCTCCAAAATCTGCTGAGATGTTTTTAGTCGTATCTAAGTTTTCACTGCAGCTCCAGGTTGGCCAGACCAGGAACCACTTTACAGGTTTGTTTGTTTGTTTGTTTTCTTAGCTATACCCCTTAGAAGTCTCTGGCTGGCTGCATTTTAAATCTTACTGGATAACAGAACAGAACCTAGCTCACAACACAACACTCAGACATTTTACAACACAAAGACACAAACAAACAATTAACAGATGAATACAAACAGAGTTCGTAATTAATGATGGGGAGAGGGGGAATTAGAGGCTTGTTGGAAACCCCCATCATGATTTGGCTATTATTACTCCAAGAAAGGGGGTTGGGGAATTTTCAAGGATCCAAGACCTGACAGGGCAGCTCTGGTGTCAACCAGAGCAGAGATGGGGTGGCCCTGTACCATCACAGATAGCTCCCCTAGTTAAGAAAGGGATAGAGAGGGGTAGATGGAGATCAGATCCAGAAACTCTTGCTTAGAGCACTTCCAGGGTCATTGGGGAGAACCTTGGCACTTCTGGGATTTCTGATTTTTCAAAACCTTGAGATGGGTCCTACATTCAGATTTCCAATGCCCCAGTCTCTTGCAATAGTGACAACTGCTGGACCTGATCTTTTTTTAGTTTGAAGCTCGCTTTTTGCTTTAAGGCCCTCCTCAGACTGTACTGCTAGGGTCTAGGCCAGCTGGGAGGCAAGCTCATCTATAAACTGCAGGTGAGCCATAAAGGAAAGGAGGGAGGGAAAAAGCAAGGAATAGGATGGTGGAGGAGCAACAACTAGAAGAGAAAAACAGGCTGGGGCTGTTGGGCAAGAGGAGAGGGTGGGGTAGAGGGAATTGGCTGGTGCAAGGAAGAAAGGCGGTAATACTGAAGTGGTTTTGCAAGCCTCAAGAGAAGAGGCTTCTGCCTTTTGTTCTCACTCTGCCATCTCAGCAAACTAATGGTGAAAACATTCCCACTCCTGGCTAGATGTTCTTTTTGCCTTTAAACTTAATTTGGTTTTAAAATAAGGTAACTTTGACCAGTCAAAAGAGCCCCATTGTGGCCAACACAATTTGGGGTTATCTTTAGTTAATTGACACCAGTGCTGGCAATATTTGTGATCACCAGATTGTTAATAGCTTGACATATGAGGCAACAGTCTTGTTAGTCAGATTTCTAGTTTTAGTTTCTGATTAATTCGTAGCTAATTTTCCTAGATTGATTCTGACCTCGAGGGGACCCATTTAATGCAGAGCAGTTGAGCAACACTTGGTCTCTGTCTTCCAGAGCTAGCTTAAAGGGAGTTTTGGACTTCAACCAAACTAATGGGAAAGCTGGGAATGAGGAACTTACCCAACCCCATCAAGGTTAAGACTCGAGGAAAAAGGGGATCTTGAGGAGCCTGAATCACTAGAATGGTTAGGGTGGAGTGCTGGTTCTCTTACTCCATCGCCTCCATCTGAGTCACAGCACCACAACTGTTGACTTCAAAGTTTGGTTAAAAGAGGCAAATAAGTTAGGTGACATATGTTTATATTCTTTATTCCCTTAAGCTAGCATAATTCATGTACATGGAGTCAGAAGATAATTCTGACTGACATAAGCAGGATGAGGCCACCTTTTATACATGTAGAGCAATCCCAACTCAGGATATCTGTGTCACTCAAATTTATGTTTCACATATGTGTTTAACCATAACATGAGAAAGGAAACTTCTTCACTGAATAGTTTGTAAATACAGTAAGATAAGGGAAGTGTTAAAGTGTCAGTTGAAGGTACAGTCCCAAGATATTTCCCCTACATAACATATGTCCATAGGGTCCCAAGATAAGAAAAGTCCCACTATTCAAGACAGTGTCCAGGTCTGTAGTTGCTGACACAAGAAGGGGCATTCTAGGTTTACTCAGAGAACAGAGCAAAGCATCTATTGTGTCAGGGTGCTTCTTCTAGTTGATTAGTTCGGGCTTTGGCCTTTATTGGGGATCTAATGATCTTAAATGATTATCAATATGTGTGTATATCTCCAAATCCATCCATCCATCCATCCATCCATCCATCCATCCATCCATCTATCTGTCTATCTATTTCCCCCAGCCCAAGTATCTCTACTAACATCCAGTCTTTCATTACAAAATGCCATTTGGACATCTCAACCTGGATGTTCTGTAGGCATCTCAAACTCAAATGTTCAAACCACAGCTCATTACCTTCACCCCTCCCCAAGCCTCTCCCTCCTTTCTTAATTGTTGAGGATGTTACCATCCTCCCAGTCACACAGGCTTGAAACCTTGGTGTCATCCGTGACTCCTCCCTCTCACTGACCTAGGAGCATGGTGATACATATTTAACAAATAATTTGGGGGGAAAAGTATGCAAAACAATTTTCAATTTAATCAGTAGCATTTTCTCCATCATTTTCTTAAGTCTAGACAATCAACAAAACAACAAATCAAGCCCTAATTAAAATGTTTGCTGATTTCCAAGGTATAAAGTCAACCACTGAAAACTGAAAAATGACCTTGAAGGATCCCAGAGTTTTCTCCAGTACATTCATGCCACATATCTAATCTATTATCAAATCTTGTCATTTCTACCTTCACAGTACCTCTTGGACATGCTCCCTTCTCTCCACAACTCTAGTACAGACCCTCATTATCTGTTACCTGGACTATTGTACCAGTCTTTTCGCTGGTCTCTTTGCCTCAAATTTCTTGCTGTCCCAATCTATTCTCCAACAAGCTGCCATGGTGAAATGTCTAAAGTCACTCGGTCAACAAGCATTTATGTAGTATCTACTATATGTCAGGCACGGTGATAGGCACAAGGTATGCAAAGAAAGACCAAAACACAATCTCTGTCCTCAAACTCACAAGGGTGAGACTAGAATTCAAACAACTATGTACACACAAGATATATGCAATATAAATGGGAAGTAATCTCAGAGGGACAGCACTACCAGTGGTAGGGACCAGGACAGGCCTTGCAGCCAGTGGAATTGGACTTGAGTATTGAAGGAAGCCCCAGAGGGCAGAGGGCAGGAGGGAGAGTATTCTAGGCCAGGACCTATGCAAAGGTGCAGAATTGGGAGACAGACTTTTATGCACAAGGAACAGCAAGGAGGCCAGTGTTGCTGAATCCCTTTCACCTAATCAGTCCCAGAGACTGTACCTGAGCAGGCACCTCTGGAGGAGAGGAAATAGAGGAGATAGCTGAGCCTCCCTGATCAGTGAGGTTTTTGTTTGGTTCTGTATCACTGTGGGAGGAAAATAAAAAGAATCTTGAAAACAGTAATAATCCACCACGTCCTCATCCTTCACACTGCTGATTGTGAGGGTGAAAATCCTGTTAGACCCTCTGCCACTGCAACAGGCAGGGACTCCAGATTTCAGATTGAAAACTTGGTAAATTAGGACTGTAGGAGCTTTTCCAGGTTTCTGTTGGACTCATTTCAGGTAAGTGTTTCCATCATTGTGTTTTACACTTGACTGGCCTTGCACCTGATGGTGACTTTCTCTCCTGGGTCACAGACAAGGATGCTGGAGACTGTGTCAGCACAAAGTCCTCCTAAAATCAGGAATTAATGATCAAAAGACATGTAAAAAATAGAAATTAGTCTGCCTATCTTCTGACATTGGTTGAGCAAACCATACTAAGTTATTACAGAAATATACATTCCCACTTCCATTTCTTGACTGATCTCCCCAGATAATCCGAGTTGATTTGAAATCTCCCATTCTAGGAAGAATCTCACATCTGTACCTTTGATCACTTCATGTTCTCACCTGGGACCCAGAGAAACAGGAGCCCAAAGAAAAGATGGGGCAATGATCGCGTCTTGCTGTGGCTGATCTCGTTGGGGCTGCTCTGGCCTACCTCCAGTCTATTTACCTCTGGCTACAGGACTTGCCTTTGGGGACTCTTTATGCAAAGTCCCTGGGGTGAGTGGAAGTTATATGAAAAGAATAGAGTAATTCTAGTTCTAAGGAAGATTCTGAGACTTTGTTACCCTGAAGAGGCTTTTCCTCCGGAGATCTCCATGGGATGTGCTGGTGCTGAGCAGGTACATCATAAATATTTATTGATTGATGGATGTGTGCTACTTCTATTACAATCTCTTCTTAACTCCCTTCAGTTTTATTGTTATTGCTTCCAAAAGGCTTTTGAACCATAGGTAAATGTTGCCTAGTGGAAAAAGTAAAGAACTCTGAGTCAGGAAAGAGTGGATTCAACTTCTACCTCTGACAATTATTGATATGTTTTTCTTTGTTAGATTAATGGAAATCACATTAATGAATGGTTCTCTAATGGATTAACAAATGGTTTTGTTAATAAAAAAAAGGGGGGCTCTCATTCATTCACCCCTTAGAATGAGTTAAGTACTTTATTTTTCATTCCCTATCCATGCCCCTTTAAGCAACAAACTGCCTTGAGGGAATGGTATTGTACAAGGGAGAGGGGTATAGGAAAGAAAGGAAACAGATTAAAGGGTGGCAACATTGGAGACTGGATGGAATTGAAAGGATACTGTCTGGAGGATATTTAAGCATCTCAGAAAGGACACCAAGAAGTGCTAATATGTTCATAGTAAGGAAGATAGGAGTTAGAGGATTTCTACCCTTTTGTCTCCTGGTTATTTTAAATATATGGATAAAATCTGTAGTGAAATTGTCTTAGCAAAGTGGTTTACATGCAGAATGACAGGAATAGACCCCAAAAAGATGTCCAAAGGCAGGAGCAATGGACTGAATTTAATGGGGTGAAGTTTAATAGAAATAAATTTAAAAGTTAAAACTTTTTTTAGGGCTTACTCCCCCAACTGGCACTGTACTTCTTGGCTGGGTAACCATAATTGCACAAACAACCCTGTGGGTGACTGTCCTACTAAGATTAGCTGATGTCGACCTGAAAGTTGGTTAAATAAGGCAAACAAGCTAGGTGATAAGTAAATTCATATTGTTTATTCCCTTAAGTTAGCGACATGTACATGGAGCCAGAGCTTCAACTCTGACTAAATCAAGCAGTTTTAGGAGGACATTTAAACCCTGACTCAGGATGTCTGTGTTATATGTTTAACCAGAGCATAAGAAAGGAATTTTCTTAATTGAATAGGCTGTAAATACAATAAGATAGGCAAATGTCAGATCCAGGATATCTGTGTTTCCTTTATCACCATAAAATACCAAGATAAGAAAAGTCCCATTATTCAAGATAGTGTCTGGGTTAAAGGCACCTTTAGTGGTCATAAACAGAAGAATACTTTTAATCCACTGTAGCTGTTGACACAGCAAGGGGCATTCTCAGTTAACTCAGAGAGAAAAGATTAATTCAGGTTTTGGACCCTTATTGGGGCTCAATTGATCTTAAATGATTATCCACTGATGAGCCCCTACCAATGTGCTTTCTCTTAATAATCAGTCTCCATTTGGGACTGCATCTTTTGTCTGTGATCCCTGAAGAAATTAATTTTTATTGCATTATGATCTGTACATGATGTATTAATTATTTCTGCCTTTTTGCATTTGTTTGCAAGAGCTTTGTGTCTTAGTACATGGTCAATTTTTGTAAAAGTTTCAAATGGTGCTGAAAAATAGGTATATTCTTTTGCTGTTCCATTTAGAAGCCGTTATAAGTTTTTTTTATTCCAGTTTCTCCAGAAATTTCTTTAGTTTCATCTTCTACCTTTTGTTTATCTTTCTGTTAGACTTATCAAAAACTCACAAATGGATTTTTTGTTTTATTTAGCATTTTATTTTCCCCCAGTTACATGTAAAAACAATTTTAACATTCCTTTTTAAAATTTTGAGTTTCAAATTCTCTCACTATCTCCCTTCTTATACCCCCCACATTGAGAAGGCAAGCAATTTGATAAAGGTTACATATGTGTAGTCATGCAAAATATATCCATAATAGTAATGTGGAGAAGGAAAAATAGACAAAAAAACCCTCAAGAAAAATAGTTAACAAAAAGTATGCTTCAATCTGTACTCAAACACCATCAGTTCTTTATTTGGGAATGGATAGCATTTTTCATCATAAGTCCTTCTGAGTATCTTGGATCATTGTATTGCTGAGATTAGCAAAGTCATTCACAGCTGATCATCTAACATTATTGCTGTTGCTTTGTACATTTCACTTTGCATCAGCCCTTGCAAGTTGTTCGAGGTTTTTCTGAGAGCATCCTGGTCATCATTTCTTACAGGACAACAGTATTCCATCATAATCACATACCACAGCTTATTCAGCCATTCCCCAATTGGTGCACATTCCCTCAATTTCTAATTCTTTACCCTCAGAAAAGAGCTGCTATACATATTTTTGTACATATAGGTCCTTTTCCTTTTTTGTTTTTTATCTCTTTTGGCATACAGACCTAGTAGTGTTATTGCTAGGTCAAAGGGTATGCATGGTTTTATAGCCCTTTGGGCATAGCTCTAAATTCCTCCACAGAATAGTTGAATCAGTTCACAACACCACCAATAATGCATTAATGTCTCATTTTTCCCACATCCCCTCCAATATTTGTCATTTACCTTTTCTGTCATATTGGACTATCTAATAGGTATGAGGTAGTACCTCAGAATTGTTTTAGTTCGCATTTCTCCAATCAATAGTGAGTTAGAATATTTTTTTCATATGTCTCTAAACGGCTTTGATTACTTCGTCTGAAAACCATTTGTATCTTTTGATCATTTATCATTTGGGGAATTGCTCTTATTTTTATAAATTTGAATCAGTTCTCTATATGTTTGAGAAATGAGGCCTTTATCGGAGAAATTTCCTTCAAATTTCTTTTCACAGTTACTATTGCTAACTATATTTCCCACCGTTCTATTCTCCCCTCCTCAGTTTGTTCTATTCTCTCTCTCCTTTTACCTAGTGCCTCCTCAAAACTGTTTTGCTTCTTACTATAGCTTCCCCAAATCTGCCCTCCCTTCTATCACCCTCTCCACTTCTCTTATCCCCTTCTCCTCCTTCTTTCCTATAGGGTAAGATGATTTCTATACTCAATTGGGTGTGTATGGTATTCCTTTGTTAAGCCAATTTGGATGAGAGTAAGATTCACTCACTCCCCCTCACTTTCCTTCTTTTCCCCTCCACTGCAAAAGCTTTTTCTTGCCTCTTTTATGTAAGATAATTTATGCCATTCTACCTCTCCCTTCTCTTTCTCCCAGTACATTATTTTCTCACCCCTTAATTTTATTTTTTAGATATCATCCCTTCATATTCAAATCACATCTGTGCCCTCTATCTATATATACTCCTTCTCACTACTCTAATAATAAGAAAGGTCTTGTGAGTTACAACTATCATCTTCCCATGTAGGAACATAAACAGTTTAACCTTATTAAGTTCCTTGGGATCTCTTTCATGAGATGATCTGTGGATTTTTTCAATTTTTCTTTTACCCTCTGGTTCTGGAATATTAAGTTCCTTATGATTTCCCTTTCCTATTTACCTTATTGTGCATCACTTGAGTACTGTATTTGAAAGCCAAATTTTCTACTAAGCTCTTGTCTTTTTATCAAGAATGCTTGAGTCATATATCTCATTGAAAATCCATTTTTTCCCCTAAACGATTATACTATTTTTTTCTGAGTAAGCAATTCTTAGTTATAATTCTAGCTCCTTTGCCCTCCAGAATATCATGTTCCAAGCTCTCTGATCCATTAATGTAGGAGCTGCTAAATTTTGTGTTATGCTGACTGAGGCTCCACTATATTTGAATTGTGGTTTTGGTTTTTTTCCTGGCTGCTAGGATGAGGTTTGGTTCCTATGAAGAGTAAACACCTCCAGGCAATTGGGGTTAAGTGACTTGCTCAGGGTCACACAGCTAGTAAATGTCAAGTGTCTGAGGCCAGATTTGAACTCAGATCCTCCTGACTCCAAGGCCAGAGCTTTATCCACTGCGTCACCTAGCTGCCTTATCAGGTTTGTTTGTTTTTTTAACAAAGTCCTGAAAGTCTGACAGTTCATTAAATGTTCATTTTTTTTCATTCAGGATTATGTTTAGTTTTGCTAGGTATGTTTTCAGCCAGAACCCCAGTTCTTTTGCTCTTCAATATATAGTGTTCCAAGACCTACAGTCTTTTAATGTCACTGATGCTAGGTCTTGTCTGATTCTAATTGTGGCACCACCACATTCAAATTTTTTTTTCTTGTTGATCATAATATTTTATCCTTTAGCTGAAAGTTTTAGAATTTGACTATAATATTCCTTTGGGTTTTCCTTGTAGGATCTCTTTCATGTAGTGATTGGTGGTTTTTTCCTATTTCTACTTTCCCCTCTTGTTCCAATGCTTCAGGACAATTTTCTTTAATTATTTCTTGTATTATTGTATCAAGATAATTTTTTTTTGATAATAGCTTTCAGATAGTCTAATTATTCTTGTTTTCTCTTCTTGATCTGTTCTCCAGATCAATTGTTTCTCTTATGACTTGTTTCACATTCTCTTCTATTTTTTCATTCTTTATATTTTGTTTTATTATTTCTTAATCTATTATAATTTCACTGGCTTCCGCTTGCCCAATTCTGATTTTTCAAGGAGTCATATTCTGGATCTCCTTTTTCTAATTGGTTGACTTTCTTTCCATAATCTTCTTGAATTGTTCTTCTTTTTTTTTTTTTACTTTTTTTCCCCATCTCTCTCATTTGATTTTAAAGTCTTTTTTTAAAAGTTCTTCTATGATTCTTTTGGGCAGGTGACCATTTGACATTACTCTTTGGGTTAGAAGAGGGTTTCTTTGCTTCAGTATCTTCCTCTGAAGATGAACCCCACTCTTCTCTAATCCCATAGAAACTCTTTATGGTTGGATTCTTTCTCCTTTGCCTGTTCATTTTTTTAAAATTTGTAATGGATAAGTTTTTGTAATCACCTCTAGTTCCTGCCTCACTGCTTCCGCGCTCAGTGGGTGTGTCTGGTTTCCTTCTTGCCCAAGGTTACATTTCAGAAGCAAGACTGGGTCTGGCCTTCCTTATCAGCAAAGGTTCCCTTGATATTCCTAGACTCAGATGCCCAATTCCCCTTACTGTCCAGGGGGTAAAGTTCCTGTGCCTGGTGC